CTCCCATCCCGTCTCAGAAGGCACCTTCCTAGGATGGCCTGGATCAGATTTGGCAAACCGTAAAAATGAAACACAAAGACATGAATGGAGAAAAGGGACTTGTGAGAAGTAGGGGTATGCAAATGATGTTGGGGCATCAGAGAGGGTGAAGTGACAGTAATCAGAGCACAGTGTATGCAGGTATGATATTGCAACAAATTTAATAAAAGTTGCCTTCAAATAATATGAGTTTCCTTTGTTCCTTATAGCCACACTGAAGGAACCCTTGTCCTCTTCCCCCATGTCTTGGGTCTCTGGATACTCAAGGTGGCAAGGGATCAAATCTGTCTTATTTGAATCTTTGAGTCAGACTTGGGATTCTAGCAAACTTGTGTTTCAGCCAGAGCATAGCATGGACACTCTGTGCCAAAATGGCTCTCTGTCCTACATCACAGAGACCCAAAGACAAAGGCAGCAATCCCCTCTTTATAAGACCTTGCCTCTTGAAGGGTCCCCTAACTTTTACTGTCCTCCACTGTCTTTGTAGACACCTAGGAATCAACCTGGAAACTATGGCTATCTCCAAGGTCCTTGCACGTGAATAAGAATGCAAAGAATGACACAGGTGGAGAGGTCTCGTCACCATTTCCTAGATCAAAACTGTAGCTCAACTTGTAAAGAATCCCAGGCCAAAGCTTGTCCCACTCCATCACCCGCCTGCCTGGAACATAAGCCATGCAGAAGTCATCAGCTCCCATTGACTCTTGCCAGCTGGTTTGACACTGAGGTGCTGGTAGGCTGAGTGGTGCATGCCCAGTTAAGCTCGGCCGGGGTCACCTGGAAACAGTGCAGTAGCTAAGAAAGCAAGCAGCCTGCTGGAGCCACCAGGAGCCACTGGAGCACTGCGTCCAAAAAGAAATTAGAACAGCGGCAGGCGTGGGGACATGCCAGTCTGCCTCTCCAGCATGCCAGCCCCAGGAGCATATGGCCTGTAATTAGCCACCCAGGAACTGGTTATTGAGCCACAAATGGAGAATTACAGCTTCAGGTGGGAAACAGCAGCAGAAAGCTGATCCCTGGAAGACAGGGAAAACCCTAGTTTCATGCAAATGCCTCCAATAATAATAAGGATGAAGGAGAGGAGGAGGAGGGGGAGGAGGAGGGAGGAGGAGGAGGGGGAGGAGAAAGAAGGAGGAGGAGGGGGAGGAGGAGAAGGAAGGAAAAGGGGAGGATGAGGAGGGGGAGGAGGGGGAAGGGGAGGGAGGAGGAGGAGGAAGAGGAGGGGGAGGAGGAGGAGGAGGAGGGGGAGGAGGAGCACAAAGAGACAAGCTGGTACAAGTGATGACAGGGAAAGACAACTCTGTGAAGAACATGATGACATGATGTCTGGAAGGTCTGTGGTCGTCCCTGTGTCCCCTCAGCCCTGGGAGATGCGCTGGCTTTTTGAAAGGCCCTCCCCTTGCCAACCATTAGCTTCCACCCCAGTGACCCCTGCTGTTCACAGTGGGGAACTGACCCAGGTCCTCCAGACAACAGTCATTTGTCCTCTTCCTCCACTGGGCTGCATTCCCTTCTACTCTGTGCTAAGAGGACAGTCCAGTACTCTACTTCATAGCTGCACAGTACTCCACTTCATAGCTGCACAGTACTCCACTGAATATACTCACTTTCCTCATCCACACAGCAGTCGACAGACAAATAAGTTGGACTATGTTATTTGCTTGTCTCCCTTCCTCCTTCCCTGCCATCTTTCTTCCTTCCTTTCCTAGCTCCCTTCTTCATTCCCTCCCTCCCTTCCTCCCTCCTTCACTCCCTTCTTTAGTGGGTTGTACGGTGTTTTGTTAGTTTGCTGTCCTAAAACTCGCTGTGTAACTCAGGCTCAAATTTGCGGTCCTCCTGCCTCAATTTCCCAAATGTTGGAATTGCAGGTATGCAACGACACACCCTGCTCTTCTAATTTTATTTTATTTTATTAGGTTTTGGGGTTTCTCCATGTAGCCTCCATTGTCCTGGGACTTGCTATGTGCATCAGTCTGCTCTTCTAACTTGTGGCCATTGTAAATAACTGCCCTAAGCTCAGACAGGTGAATGTCTCAGTGTGCAGACTCTGTTGCCTTTGTGTGTGTGCTGAGATTGCCAGGTGATGCAGTACTCCTTCCTTCAGTGTTTTAGTACCGGCTGCACTGTCTGGTGCAGTGGCTATCCGGCCTGCATTATAACCCCAGCTTTGCTGATCCCTCTAGCACAGTGCATCATTGGGCCCCATGGTCGGCTGCAACATCGTCCTGTTGTCCTCTTACTTTGCATGCTCTCCCTTCACTAACACTTCTAGAGTCTGTCCTGTGCATTTATGACTCTGCCCCAAGTCCCTCTTCCTCTCCCTTCCATGCATCTATGACCAACCCCTCACTCAAGACTCCGTTCTAACAACGGTGCCTCAGAGGGAATCACTCCTAGATGCAAATGTCCAACCCTATCCCTGGGTTCTCACGATGGAGTGCCTCCGTGGGGCTCTTAGCTTTCTCTGCCCAGCAGTTTGTGCTCATGACCAGCACCATGCCATGCCCTGGCAGTTCCATTACACAGCAGAAACCCAGTAGACAGCCACAGAGGGCTGAGCAGAAGGGGAAAGAAGGACGTCTACTCCACAGAGTTTACAGTTTTCTCGGGGAAGATCCCCTCACCCTCCACCAGCCACATCTCATTCGGTGTGAGCATGTCACGTGTCATTCACTCTCCCTCCAGCAGCTGTAGAAATCACCCTAAGTGCCTGCCACTTCCTGGGAGGTAGGCACCAGAGGAAAGTAAGAAGTCTGGCTGGCCTTGGCTGACCAGAGAAGAAATGAAAGGTATAAAGAAATGTTGAGTGAAGTCTCTAGCGTCAACACCAATGGAGATGGCACATGGTGACCATATCCACATGACCTGGGAAGTGAAACATTTGACAGCATCGGCGCATCAAAGTTCAGGAGTCCCACCCTCCTTCCTCCTTTCCTGCCATTCTCGTCAAGTTCTTCCAAGGAATAAGGCTCACAGCTCCCATAGGCATAGTTCAAGGAAAATGAATCTGACAGGTATCTTCTCCACAGCTTCTGTTCCCCAGGTTTCTCCTCCTTCAAGTCCAAGCCCAATTTCCTTTTTCAACAGGTTTATAAATCACCTACAAAAAAACTTATTTCCCCTTCATAAGTGGTCCTAAAGAGGAGGTAAAGGTGTGTGGCCCATTAGTCTTACAGACCAAAGACAGAAAGCGGTGCCCCCACAGCCAATGTGCCCATTAAACTGCCTGAGAGTATAATGTGATGTACAGATACCCATGTTCTGAAGGGTCCATTGCACTATGTTGCTTCAGAGCTGGGTGCTAAACTTAGGGTCCCTGCCAGCATGGCCAAGTGCAGTATCTTCTGGCACTAGCTAGAATTTTCCACACTGCACCTGGATTAATTTCCAGTTTTCCCTCTTCCTTGCTAGGGACAAAATATGTTATCTGCTCTCTAACTCTGCCACACCCTCTCGTTTGTTCCTCATTTACTCCAGGTTGGCATTCCACCAGCCCCAATGGGCTTCACCCTTAGACCCTGTCACACACCATTTTCATGTATGGGCCCCACCTTCCCTTGTCTCCCTGCCCATCTGCCCAGACACCTGCTTCTACACAGCCCACCTGATGCTGCCTCCAAGCTAGCCTGCCTGGACTCTCTGTAGAGCCTCTCTGGGAAATGACCCTCCCCTGGGAAGCTACCATGTACCACCAGAAGGGAGAGACAGTGTCTCCAAGGCCTGCCAGCTCTCCCGGGACTCACAAGCACTAGACACCTGCCTCCTGTCTCCTCCAGTGGACCACCTCAGTGCAAAGGGCAGCAAGCTTTTCTGACAGGAAAAAAGGATGTCTTAGGCTTTGCAGGCCACGGGGACTTGCTAGAAAGACACGGTTACTACTGTGCTGCACAAGCCCTTGGGGACAATGAGGAAGCCACAGAGGGACCTTGTCTTTTATTCAAAGGCAGTAACATTTTAATTCTGCATAAATATTATATGCTACAAAATGTTGTTGTTTTTCCTTTCGACCACTTAAAGTATAAAGACAATTATTTGTTTTGTTCAAGCACTCCCAAGCCTGTGATTAAAGAGTAAATATTAAGCCAATCCCAATCTCGCTCCTACCACTGCCTGACCCTCAAACCTGGGACGAGTTACTTGAGACTTATGAGCTTGGTTTCTCATGGGAAAAAAAGCAGCTTTGGAATATAAGCGCTAATAGCCTTAACTGAGATATAATGTCTTCAAGTACCTCAAACAGCCAAGTCTAAGGTAGAACAATCATGAGTCTTACTCACGCCAGGAGAATTGGGAACCTGGAAAGCGCAAACTCACAGGAGAGAGAGAGGTTTGGGAATCTGAAACATCTCGGGTTCTAGCCCCACACTCAGCCACTTATGGCTGTGTGACCTTAATAGGGTTAAACGAACTCTCTGAGCTTTCAAGTCTTCATTTAGAAACAGCATCTTAGCAGGCTCTACAGGGCATTGCTCAAATACTGTACAAAGAAAAAATGCTTGGGGTATCTTACACACACACACACACACACACACACACACACACACACACACACAGGCATTATGTGTCCCAATGCTATTTGATTTTTTTCTACTACTCCAAAATTCTTTTCACACAGGATGCCAAGTTCTTTATGAGAAATGCACTTCCTCACCATCTCCACAACACTTCTGGTGGGTCCCCGTGCTCCATCCACAAGGCATGTTCCCCTCTCCCACAGGGAAGCTCACTACTGAAAACTAGGCCAGCCCTTTGAGCCAGCCTCTTTCTCCACATAGGAAACAAAGGCAGGCAGCAGGTAGGGAGGCTCTGTCTGATCCTCGGAGCTGTGCTTCTGGGTGTGAGGCTGACGGGGGCTGTCACAGACAGAGGCCACACCCTGGCATAGCCCAGGGGTTGCAGGGCTCAGGCCCCACGGTTTTTGGGTCAGACTGATCCCTGCTTTCAGTCTGTGAGATTCCGACCTGACAGGAATGGGCTGGACGCGGCTGGACAGAGGACAGGCTGAGTGCAGGACGGGCTCTTCGTACTGAGGAGGTTTCCAGACAGGTCAGCGCTAGCTCCCCTGAAGCTGAAGGTCCAAGATGCGTTCAGGGAGGAAGTCGGGTGTCAGAAATGCCTTCAGGTTTTCTGGGTGGCCTGCTTTCCCTTCGAGATATCTCCCAGAGTCAGGAGGCTAGAAAAAGAAGAAGCCACCATGACTGAGGTCCAGAGAAAGCTATGTCTGGCAAAAGCAGGAAGCTGATCAGTCACCATGTCTGATAAAGGAGGGCAGAACACAAAGTCAGTACAAAGCCCAAGAGCTGAATGTCCGCCCCCTCACATGTGTCCAGCACCATCCTGACCAAACGCTGGACCAGGCCCTGCAGCTGTGTGACGAATGTGCCAGTTCAGCCCTTTAAGGAACCTGCTGTGGAGTTGTCTTCATCTGTGGAGACTGATCACTAGAGGAGAGGAAGTTCAGTTAGGGAAATTGGCCCACACAACACAGGGGCTAGAGGTCCATCCACAGGCCATCTGCAGGCTGGAGACAGTAGAGAACAAATAATAAGCTTAGTACAAATCCAAAGCCTGGGAACCAGGCTAAAGTATAACTCTCAGTCTGAGAGCAAAGATCTGAGAAGCCACAGAGGCTCTGTGTAGGTCCTGGAGCTCCAAGCTTTCGTTTCTGAAGACTGAAGTTGAACCTGAGAGGAAAAGAACATCCCAGGCAATAGAAGAGAGGGAAGGAGAGGAGGAAGATGGGGAATTTTATTCTCTTGGGGACTGGGGAGCAACTGGATGGTGCCCACTCATTTCAAGGTAGATCTCCCCACACCTCATAGATAAGCCCAGAAATCATCTGTACCAATTCCCCAGTACTCTCAAATCCAGCCCATTAGACACCTAAAATGAACCATCACAGAGGTGTTCAAACAAGCATGACTCATGTTCCCAAACCCATCGCTGTGTTCACGATCACATGGACCATCTGTCCAGAGTCCCTTGCAATGAGATCCAGTGTGTGGGTGTCCACGATGGAGCTATGGCCAAGCCTGGCCCAAAAGATGTCTCCTGTGATGCTAAAGGCTTACATATTGAATTCCCCTCAAGAGATCAATGGGTTGAAGGCTTGTTGACCTGCTGATAGCACTGCTGATGGGTAGTGGACCCTTAGGAGGCTGGGCCTAATAAGAAGTTACGCTATTGAGAGGCATGGTTGTAAAGAGTAATAGCATCTCCTCTTCCTCTCTTCTTTGGCTTCCTGGATGCCAAGAAGTGAGCAGTCTGTTCACTTGCTCCCACCATCATGTCTTGTCTTACTACTCACCCGAAGGCAGTGGCGCCAACTGCCTACCAGTGGAAAGAACCCTGAGAACAGAAGAGGAGCCTTTCCTCTTCTAACTCTTTTGTTCCAGGTAATTTGCTGCAGTGTCAAAAACTTGTATGTGTGGCATCTTGTTCCATTTGGATAAGGAATGTTCTTTCACTGTGAGATGCTGGGCCCAAAAGGAAGGTAGAGCTACAATACAGAAGGAACCTGAATTACCGAACAATGCCATAAGAAATTACCTGCTTTCCAGGAACATCTGGAACGCAGTTGGTATGAGTAAGAAATAAACGTTCAGCATATGAAGCCGTTGAGACAGGGCAGTTGACTTGTTAATCTCTCCTGACCAACAAGCATGTTTGAAAAGATACACAATAGCCTGGGAGCCATGATATTATAAAATAAAATGGCCAGACAAGAGAATCCAATATCCCTTCCATCTGGAGCATTTCAATATTGCCACATTTGCCAGGCATCCATCAGAGATGCTAGAATCAAGCATGGGCTACTGCTGGACTTTTTTCCCCTGAGTCTCCCAGTGAGGCAGCCTACCAACCACTCCTGACTCACTCAGCACAAGGCCTTCCTCCAATTTCTGCTGTCCCAATGGCTTCCAGAGAACCCTAGACTATTGGAGCTGCCCAAAGTAATCCTCCTCAGTCCAAGCTAGGCTTTCCATGTCCCTGTAGCTCCTAAAGCCATCTGTGGTTTCCTCCAGTGCCCAGCTGGGAAGAGGCAGGCCTTAGCTCTCTGCTAAAAGAGCAAACAGATAGCCCAAGTCTGTGCCCTCAAGAGCTGCCCAGGTCAGTAACTGCCTCCCAGCACCATTTCCCACATCCTTCCCACTGTTAGGACCCTCTATCCAGGTTAAGTAGAAAACACATTGACCATGATTTCTATTTATTTTCCTCCTCTTGCGTCCTTAATCTGGGCATTGCCATGTGGCTTTAACTGACAAGCTTTGGCTATTTGTGACAGAGCTGTGACACAAGCTGAGACTTGAAAGGTCTGGGTACACTGAGGCCTGTTCTTCCCCTGCTCCCATGAAACCCTCTGCAACATGTGAGCAAGCCTGGGAATCTAAAGGGGCTCTGCTGTTTCGAAGAAGTCCTTGCCATCACTGCCACAATGGAGGTCCTGGTCAGGTGAATGACGACCTTCTAGGCCATTCAAGTCTTGCTGGCTCAGAAGAGAGTACCATATAGTCAATCTTAGACTCACAGAAATACTGTTTTCTTGTCTTACCCAACCATATTTGGCACTGTTTGTTACACTACAAAATAAAGTGTACGTACTCACCCAACCACTGCCCATGAGGAAACTAAGAATGAGGGAACCTAAAACTATCTTCAGTAAAAACCTATCCAGAATTTCCCCCAATTTTCTCATGTCTGTAACGACAGCCCCTCCTGCCTGTGAGACTGAGAGAATGAGAATGGAAATGAAGACCTGCTCGCTCCCTCATTTCTTCACCACATACAGAGTACTTCAGGTTAAAGGCTGGGCTGAGGTGTGCAAACTACTCACTGTGTCGCCTTCACTGAAACCTTCCACCCTGGTAAGAAATCACATACACGCACGCGCGCGCGCACACACACACATACACACACACGCACGCACACGCACACACGCACACACACACATGCAAACACGCACACACACATGCACACACGCGCACACACATGCACACACGCACACACGCGCACTCACGCGCACACACGCACGCACACGCACGCACACGCACACACACACGCACACACGCACACACGCACGCACGCACGCACGCACGCACGCACACTACATCCACCAGGAACCTCAGTGGAATGGCACCGTAAGCCTGGACTGGAAGATAGACACTTGGCTTTAATCGTGGTCTTCCTCCCCACCCCTGGGAGGGGAATTCCTTTCTTTTGCTGGGTCTAGATTGGGTCCACAGTTCTAAGGGCTCCCACTGGGGCTTCCCACGTGCATTAACAAGCCTTTCACTCAACAGTATTCACATAGCTGTCTATTGGCTGTACCACATGACCTGTGATAGGAACTCCCATGAAAGCATTCATTTTAAGGCTCACTGTAACACAGTAACACTGGTAAAAGTCAGCGACTTTCTCTTCTTCTGCAGAAGAAGCGGCTAAGACTCAGAGAAGAAGAAGCTTCTCACGGCCCGCTCCCCTCCCTGCAATACCAACACCACCCACACCCACCCAATTCCCACTCCAGAGCTCCAAAGTCTTTTCAACAGTAGTCCTCTCTGATTCCCTCATCAGTCTTCCTGTTTTCTGAAGAGGGGTGCCACCTAATGGAATCAGCTGGACCTGGGCTTGGAAAGCCAGGGGGTGGTGCCAAGACCTAGACCTGTGCTGAAATCGATCTCTGACCTTGACTTTCTCAGAGATCATTTAATTATCCCCGGGAGCATCAAACCTCACAGGGGTGCAGCAGAGATCAGATGTGTTTTCAGATATAAAAACACTTGAAGAAGGAAGCCAACATCATTCCGGGGTCGTCCTGCAGGAATCAGACCTCGCCCACAGCAGAACTCTAAAGCCATCTGAACTCGCTGAGCCTTTGGAACATATGGACAGGAAGAACAAGGTATATGATATTTTGTTGTTGCTTTAGAAGCCCAGAGAAGGACTAGGAAATCGTGACTTCCAAGGCTCACAGCTTTGCGTTTCTGTGGACAGCTGGGCCGAGACGAGAGATGACGTCATCTGGCATGAGTGAGAAAGCCTCCCTTTAGCAGAAAGGGACTTGCAGGAAGGGAGTATCTGTCATCTCTGTGTGGGCAAGGAGTTATCAGACGCTCCAAACTTGAGTATCGACCTGTAAAGTTTGGTTCCATCCTTCAAGCTGTCCATGGGAGAAAGGACAGGAAACCACACGAGGCTGTGTCTACCATAACCCTACACTAGGCTTGTATGTGTGAGCCCACTGTGGAAAGCAACACAAGGTGGAAACCCAAGACAGTAATAAAGATTTGGAGGTGTGCTTTCATGTGTCTGCTCACGGTGTAGAAGAGACACAGCCTGACACACAAGAGTGGGCTGACTCGATTGACTTTGTGGTCTATCTGGATGCTAGAATGCGGTTGCGTTATTAAAAAGATATTTGCGGGGACTTTTAACCGCCTGGGGAATGTGATGTCACTTCTCAGAAGCCGTATGAATGACAGGAAGGAAGACAGACATGAGACTAGCAGACCAAATGAGGAAGGAGACCTCCGTCATTCATCCTTTCACAATCTGTGGTGATATTTTGTCTATGATCAAAAGATCAGAGTACAAAGCTAGCCATACTAGAGAATTCTTATGTCTATAAATGTTCAGACCAAAGGTGTGATCCTGTCCTCAGACTGCCTGCTTCAGATTCAGATGACTGCATCTGTCTCTATGTATCCTCAGACACTCTCTCTCTCTCTCTCGCTCTCTCGCTCTCTCTCTCTCTCTCTCTCTCTCTCTCTCCCTCCTCCCTCCCTCCCTCCGCCCCCCCTCTCTCATCTCCTCCTGCCTTATGTTCCTCTCCATATCACTCCTGTCTCCATCTCCCTAGTTCTGGGATTAATAGGATCACCTTTGTGTGAGCTCTGGGATTAAATATCCCAAGTGCTGGGATCACCTTTGTGTGAGCTCTGTTTCTCTTTTATATAGATTTAATCTCATGTAGCCCAGGGTGGCCTTGAACTCACAGAGATTCAGCTGCCTCTGCCTCCTAAGTGCTGGAATTAAAGGTGTGCACCACCACTGCCTGGCTTCTATGGCTAACTGCTGTGGCTAGCTCTGTGCTCTGATCCTCAGGCAAGCTTTATTTGTTAGATCATGAACAAAATGTCACCCCAATAAGCTTTGAATCTTAAGATGAA